GATATGCAGATGAGGTTATGCATAGTAAAACTAGGCGTTGTAAGCTCCATATATGGTGATTTTGGGGAGGAGATGCATGTACGCACAATCTTCCGCTGACAGGGATTTATAAAAGGATTTTTGCGTAGGTTCTGGCGTACGGCATGGTTTTATAAATCTGAAAACGTTTGTGCGTACGCCAAATCTAGCTTTTGTGCATACGTACACTTTTAGGATAAAATCTACGGAAAGTTTTATACATGAGGCCCCTGGTCCTTTGTCTGCTATTGATGTTGATTTGCATTTGTGTTGCTGACTGTTGGATTTACTCCTGGATTCATGATTAAATACCCTGTTGACTCTGTTCCTTCGTCGTGGCATTCATTTCTAGCCAGCTCACATGTTACAGTTATAGTACATAGATCAATTAATAGCACACGGTTAACATCTCCACGTGACACTATCTGATGTTCCCTCCAGAATTTCATGTATCAACATCCCTGTACAGTTAATCTTAATTATGGTACCATATACAGTTTTGGGTATTTCAAGTGCAGTTAATTATTTGTCATGCTATACGTGCAAACAGAAAACGGTGAATAAAAATTCTCCAGCAACAGGCCTCTTCTGTCCTTTCATTCTGTAGCATTTCATTCACGCCCCCACGACAAACTCAGTGGTACTGGACGAAGTAAGGACTGGTGGATTTTTAATGGAATTTGATGATGCCGAATGGAAAGAAAACATTTGCATGTCCCCGAGTAAGAGCCATGCTCTTTTGTTTGCTGTTAAAATGGTTTACCACTGCCGTGTGTGTATCCTGTCGCAAAATGCAGTGAAAAGTCCTACATGACGGTAATAGTGTGATTAAGGTGTGAACATGTCTATACTGCACTTTGATAATGAGACTAAAATAGGAATACTCCACATGTCTTAATTCGATTTGTGTTTACTTCGAGTATGACTTTAGCCGGATTAAGGTAATCAAAAATCTCTGTTTACATGGTAGATTCTTAATCAGAGTAGTGTCTTAATCGTGTTATCAGAATATTGTTGTCCATATAAACTTAATGATTGTTGTTTTAAATGTAGCCAATATCAGATTTCCAGTGTGAACAGTGGGCTCAGAGGAGGCAAGAGAGACGCGGACTCCAGCTGTAATTTACCTGCTGGTGTTGCTGTTGGACAATTTTTTTTTTTTGAAAAACAAGTGATTTATACACTTTATGTCATATTTTGCAATATTTGCTTTGTTTTATTTTTTGTATTATGAATTTGTTTCTCATCTAATATTTTTTGCCTTTAACTTTTTGCCTCCTCAGAGGAAACGCCCATGGCTTAGAGATGGGCTGATAATAGTGCTCACAGGAAATGATTTAGCTTGTCATTGTAATCAAGGCCTCTTTGCAAATGGGACCCAATCCCCTTTAGTAGTTTGTGTGTTTTCACAAGTCCCCAACTAGTAGTCTGATGGTTGTTTTGGTTGCAGAGAGCTCTGTAAGCAGCTTTGAACAGACTAATGAGCCAATTGATGACAACGATTCTTCAACGATGTCTGATGAACTCGGTTCAGGGTCATCAGGTAGAGGTGTTGCAAATGGGACCCAATTCCCTTTAGTAGTTTGAATGTTTTACTGATGGTGTTTTGGTCTGTTTGATTGCAGAGAGCTCTGTAAGCAGCTTTGAACAGACTGATGAGCCAATTGATGACAAGAAGTCTTCAACGCAGATGTCTGTTAAACTCGTTTCAGGGTCACCAGGAAGAGGTGGTCATGTTGTTCCAAACCCAAAAGACTTTGGTTAATCTTTTAAAAACAAAGTAAAAAATGTATACTGTAACCTGAGAAGTTTCTGTCCCTGCAATTAAAGTCCATACCTAAATTACGAACACAAATATTGAGTCGTTGTCGAAACGTATCTCTTCACAAGACTCAGATTAAACAGCTCAATTCATGTGGATTAGTTTTGCGATGCCTTTTTGAGCTTTTTGGATCTTCCAAGTTTTGGTTGCATGGACTTTTAATGAAGGGACAGAAAACTCTCAAGATGAATTAAAAGAGGGTGAGTAAATGCAGACAGAATTTCCATTTCACACTTTTACACAGAAACGGTGATACACAAATCCTCTACGTGGCAGTGTTTATTCATATGTCTATTCATATACGTGTGTGAATTGTTTACTTCTTTATTAGTCTTCCCATTAATGCCATTATATTTTTCATTCAGACTGGTTCGCAAACACAGCACGCGCACAGATACAAGAGCCGGGATTTTTTGCATGAACCAATCACAGCCGACTACAACCAGTCATATCCAATCATATCGCAATGGAAGCATGCCTCCTCTCACATGACTTTCCCCCATTCATTCTCAATTACCCCACACCAAACGCACCGCTCCTTTTAGGGAGTCTGTTAAGACAGGCTTCACACTGCGAGCCTTAGTGCTCAATTCCGATTTTTGTAGTATATAACACAGATGGGTGATAGAAATCTGATTATTTATTCATTTTATTTTATTCTATTCATATTGTGAGAGTAACAGCTTTTTATGGGTTGTTAGTGTATAACATCTGTTTTTCATTGATGGATTTTGTTTGCCGTGAAGTATATTTCACAATAAAGCACTGTAACTATTGTTAGTTGGTTTCTATCAGTGGTGTCGGTTTCATGTAACATTGCCAATTGCTGTATCATATTTCATCTATCATCCCTCACAAGCACCATAAAGTGTATTTATGCACTATAAATATCCCGAAGCTTGAATCTGAATTCCTTTAGTATTACATAATCTCCATCAAATCCTTTTTGCAAAATGTGTCCTCCTTTTAATTATTGTCTAATTGTATCATGACTGAGAGTTTCCACTAATGGTCTTTTGTATTAATTACAGGTTTTGACTGTGTTCCGCCTCCATCTTTCAACAGAAACAGCATTAATCTGAACTCTTCATCAACACATAACGGTAATATGCAACACAATCACATGGCAATTCATAACTATAACCACTGACAGTTAGGATATATGTTTAGGGGACCACTATTACTTTTTTTTTTAATAATGGTATGTTTTTGTATGATTTATATTGTACAAATGCATACAAAATCGCCTCCTCGTAGAATACTTACATTTTCAGGTTGGTAATATTCAGGGTACATTGACAATCTACAAACTACACCATTCCCTGAGTCATTCAACATATGTACTGTAGCTGTTCATGTGTTAAAATTGATTTTGTTATTGTCTGGTAGTAGTATGAGAAATTTACTTGTGTTTTGTGTTGGTTACAGGTTCTGACTGCTTTTTACCTCCTCTGGATGGGTTTTTAGGCCGTAATGAGAGGTCTCAACCATTGAATATGAGCAGTACTCCAGATACAACATCATATGATCTCAAAACTGCACCAATCTCTGACACATTAAACATCTTAGAAGAGTCTGTTGTCTTCCTCAAAGGCCTGCTGGTCACACGCCTCATGCCCTCATTCTACATCATCATCATCCTCATTAGTTTGCCCCTGAACACTTTGGCCTTCGTAGCGTTCACCTGTAGGATTCGAGAGAAGAAACCAGCTGTGATCTACATGTCTCACCTGGCGTGTGTGGACCTGCTCTTCACCCTGCTGCTGCCTCTGAAGATCCACTACCAGCTGAATGCTTCAGATTGGGTGTTCGGTGAGGCGGCGTGTCGTGTGCTCAG